GCGAAAGGAAACCAGACGGCAGAAAGCGGCATCCTATTTTTCTTTAGGCTTATTTTACAAAAGCACAAAGATTTGTTTTTATTGTGAATGTACACAAATAAAGGCAAACCTTTTACAATTCCGATTATCTTTAGGACTAAAAGGAGTAGTTTCTTCCACAGTTAAAGGAAAAAAATTCAAGTGATTGCGCCGGCGCCACATGCGCGCACAGTTAAGCATTGCTACCTTGACAATGCAGCCTGTTCATTATCATAATAAAATACAGTCAGTCAAACATATGGGAAAAACCTATGTAGTAAAAAAAATATGTAGGCTAGTAAAATCTGTTAAGCCATTAAGGTTAAGTGTTATCACCGTACCGCCGTGATGTTATGCAAAACATTTTGTTTTACGTGGATATTGGAACGCGAGTGAAGTAGGCTACATAATAAATAATAATTTGCTATTCAAATACATCGCGAATACGGAAACATTTGATTTTGTGTGGAATGAGAGACCCAACGTTGGTTTCAGTTTCGTTTTAATCTAAATTAATTCGTTTTGGCTTGTCATTTATATTGCTATAGCTTCTTCTATATTTAATTCTTGTTCTTTTCTAAATAGGCCCTAGTGTGTTTGCATGATTTTAGTCCCTCTGCTCACCTTTGCATAGAGAACTGCCTCATCAGTGTCTCCTCTTGACATGGCCATCGTCTTCTTAAATGCCTGAAGATAAACACACGGCTCAATATAATGCATGTTTGACCTACATCAAGTCCCTCATAACTGAAATGATCCATTCACTCAGACTTTACATGAGCATCTTCCTTTCCTTAACCTAGCGAAGTCACCCAAGATGACCCAAACCTTCCTTTAAAGTAATTTGCCACAACATACGGTACTGTTATTATTACTATATGAGATTCATTACCTGGGCAGTGATCCGTCCTGCCTCCTTCATCAGAGCGACCTCTGCTGGGCTCTTAATGGCTCTGAGGGAATGAGTGAGGGGTCGGAGAGACTTCGTCAGCCTTCCTCCTTCCAATAGGGGGCACACATGAGTCTGGTGTAACCGTGGATGGCAAGGCTGAGAGCTGTCGTACCATATAGTTCCTCCTAAGAGAATAAAAAGTTAAAGGGGTCATATGATGCGATTTCAAGTTTTCCTTTCTCTTTGGAGTGTTACAAGCATACCGATGCAAATGTAAGCCTTGAATGCATGTACTGTAAATGTATGTTCGTTTTTTTACCTTTCAAGCTTTTTAGCACTACACCCAGCTCCTCTGTGCTGTGAACCCGTTCTAGACCCGTTAAAGCAGCTGCCCCATCTTTCCCCGAGCGAGGGCCGTCCCAGAGCTCTCGTGCCGGGTCTCGCCGTGGGACAAATAACACGGCCTGGTCCGGCTTACCCGATCCGTACATCACCAGTGCACTGTCCGGCTCCATAATTCCTGTCAGGTACAGGAAGTCCTGGTTCTGGTGGAACGGGTAAGGGATGTCATTGGTCATGTAGCGAATGGGATGCGATAGGACGATGACAATGTGGGAGGAGTTTGAAGAGGCTCCAGAACCTGTTAGTCGCTCTGTCTGCATCTCGATCAGAGACGCCAAGCGCTGCCGGCGAAACTCAAACTCTGTCTGGGTGAGACCTGGCGTCACCTCACCTATGAGACGAAGACATTTGCAAGATTATTAAACAACCCTGCAGTGATGTACACTGCAGTTCAAAAGTTTGGGATCAGTCTTTTTTATATATATATATAATTTATTACTTTTATTTAGCAAGAATACATTAAATTGCTCAAAAGTTACAGTAAAGACATTTATAATGTTTCAAAATATTTCTATTTTGATAAATGCTGGTCTTTTGAACTTTCTATTAATCAAATTATTCTTAAAAAAAAAAAAGTATAATTTCCATAAACATTAAGAAGCACAACTGCTTTCAACATTGATCAGAAGAAATGTTTCTTGAGTATCAAATCAGCATATTAGAATGAGTTCTGAGATCATTCATGTGACACTGAAGACTGGACTAATGATGCTGAAAATTCAGATTTGCATCACAGGAATAAATTTCATCTTAAAATATATTAAAACAGAATACAGCTATTTTACATTTTAATAATATTTCACAATTTTACTGTATTTTTGATCAAATAAATGCAGCCTTTTGAAGAGACTTCAAAAACTAAAAAAAATGTACTGACACAAAACATTTGAATAGTAGTATATTTCTGAATGAAAAAATATTCAACAACAACAAAAAAAACAAATTGAATATGGGGATTGTATTTTATTCACTGGGAATTAATTGGATTGTAAATAATAGGCTGTACGGTAATAACAGGTCAGTAATCTGCTTAAAATTACTGTGTTAATTAAGTGCAAGATTTGTAGAGGCTTTATTATCTACAACAGTATTATCTAAAACAAGGGCTAAATAGCTATTTTACTCTATAAACCAATAGTCTGCATGGCCTAAGTGACATCAGACAAAAATGAAAGTTGTTTCAGAGGTGAAGCAAGCCGTTACATTTTAGTTAAAAATTACAAACACATTTTTTGTCTTTGTTAAAATGTGTACAACCAATTGTTCACAATAAGACCAAGAATATACATCGTGAAAGTCATAAAGGTCAGTTTTGATTTTATGTCGACTTCAAATGAAAAGAATTGAAAAGGAGCCCAATCTTGTTCTCTCTCACCAGATCCGATGAGGTGAGGGTGTGTGTATGGGCTTGGCTGACCCAGGTATCTCTGAGGAACTTTCTTGGTTTTCCATCCTCCTGTTTTCACAGACACACTCCTGCATGGACACCATACAGACCCTGTAAAACAAAACAAAGCTACAGTAAACTGTATTTGCAACTCATTTTACTTGCGTGATTTGATGTACACTACTGTTCAAAAATTTGAGGTCATTTATTTGATCAAAAATACAGTAAAAACAGTAATCTCGTAAAACATAAATTGTGAAATAACTGTTTTCTATTTTAATATATTTTATGTAATTATGTTATGTAAAAATACAATTAATGTTATTTAATGTTAACTGGTACATGTTAATGTTAACAACCTATATTATATATTATATTATATTATAAGACAATAAACAGTATCAATTTTGATTTTACATAAACTTAGAAACACAAGTAAAAAAAATGGACTAACAGCTAATGCAAGATCTTTTGTTGGGGTGCAAATATCTTTAAAATACACAGGCATAAGAGGATCAGACATAATAAGTTGCCTCATATACATGATGAGGTCAGGGTGGTGACTGGTGATTTCCAATGCAAATTTATTCATCCGTGCCTAATCATAAACATCATATTAATTCTGGTTTTGGATATGGAAAAAGAAAAGAAACAGCTTGTGCACAATCCTAGTACAACGCTTTTCTTCACACACATCAGCAGCAGCGAGGTTCCTGCCATGTGCCCAGTACTCAGCTATGAGTTAAATTAATACATTGCATTGAATGCCAGATCCGCAAACAAGCGTAACTATAATGCATTACCTGGACTCCAGTGAGAGCGAGTAACGCGCTGCACGGCGGCTCTCAGTATACAGCTGCTGGAGTGCAACATTGTCGCAAGCATGCGAGATTTCTGATCAGCTGTACTGATCCACCAACTCTCAGCATGAGGTAGAATAAGTTCGCACAAACGTGTGCAATTAAAAATACATAAACCGAAATTATTTCGGATGGTTAACCTAAAGGTAACATACTAAAAGAACATTGCACGTGTAAGCTTTTACTCTTAACTCATACAACTGTGTGAGCATGATCGCGTGGAAGGTGACAGTGTCACGCCCATGTAAGACCCTCTGAGCTCCTATTGGTGGCCTGAGAGCGGCTCCAGCGCTCTGATTGGACAGCTCTGTAATGACAGTTACAATCTGCGACTCTGAATAATGGAAGACCCTTTTTTTTGTAAATTTTTTTATTTTATTTTATTTTTTATTGCTTGAAGAACATAAATACCAAACAAATAACAGTAAGAAAAATCTTAATACAATTCAAAGAAGTCCAAATAGCAGCATAACAAAAAATACTTTTTTTTGTAAATGAATGAATCTAGTGACAGAATCCAACAAGTATTAACAGTATGAGAAAGAGGCGACATACGGGCATCATCACAAGAGCTTATACGAGCGTTGCAAAATCTAAGTTAACAAAATATAACACTTTATGATCATAATTTTTTTTTTTGGCGTTCCAATCTTGCGTAATTGTATGCTGTATTAAGAAACAAACATAACTTTTTACCATTCTTTTTTTTTTACCGATTTATTATTTTTGTATTTTTTCGTTGTTGTAATTTTATTGTTGTTTTGTTGTATTCTAGTGTTAGAGATATAAAAGAAAACCTTTTGCTCCTACATATAGATTGATGTATATTTTATGTATATACAATTTGCCTAAAAGAGGTAACAATTTAACAAAATAATAATAATTGCACTGGGACATATCATAATTATGAAAACCAGAACAGTACATCTTCGATTTTTGTTTTTTTCTTTAATAAACTAGCAAATTTCCAAACAAAGATAATTCCATGATCACAAAATGAACAAGATATTTAAAAATCATATACAGAAGTACATATAAAGAAGTTCGATTTGCCATTAGCGAATGTATTTATTTACGGAGAATTTAATCAAGTTCAGCTAATTAATTAAAATTGTTTAATGGGTTTTTTTAAGCTTAGAGTACATTTTTCCACAACCATAAAGTAGGTCTTTGACATGTTCTGTATTTGCTCCAAAATGAAGTCGATGCCAGAAAGGACCCCTGTTGTTTTGGTTTCGTCACAGTAGTGAGGAGTTTAATTCCCGCCTGCGCACAATTCGCGGTCTCGCGTTCACTGCCTCGCGCGTGCAGTGCGAGCTCGATCTCGCGACCCTCAAATCGCTGCCGGAGAAGCGCGTTTTAGCTCTTTCAGGTACAGCATTAATGTTTTATTTTTTGAATGAGCATATATTGAGACAGTTGAATAATAGAATTATTAAAATACCACGCTGATTTAACAAAGGGCTCTTCCTCGCGCATTATTTCCAGAAGCTTCTATGCGTTAATCCCGTGCACCACTAACGTTAATTGGTTATTTGCTGCGCGGTTGCATTAGTTACACAGTTCCTGTGCGTTTTTGGCGTTGCGTAAATCATTAAGGCCTCGCGCTGATCGGACACGTCATATGACGGGAATAATAATTCACGTTTCCTTGTTTTCCAGCACATTGTTTTCTCTGCGTGAGTTTGGTTCGTGCTGTGGAATATGGATTCGCGGAAAGTGACGGAGTTAAAGGCCTTTGTGCAGATGTGCAAAGACAATCCATCTGTGCTGCATCTGCCAGAGATGGGCTTCTTTAAGAGCTGGCTGCAGGGGTCAGTGCTTGTTTGTGTTCTATTTTTGCATTCAGCATTGATGTTATGTTTTCTATTAAAATAATGGTAAGCTGTGAAGTGCGATGATGTAGGTTTCTATAGCCAAAGTGTAGGGCCTGTGTGAGCAGTCACACCCACATCCAGCATGACATGTACTTTTCAGTGGAGCACACAGATGCATAAACATCCCTGTATGACATGTATAAAATGCAAATATGTTACTTTATTATAGAATGGGAGCAAACATACCATTACCAACAAAGAATGACAGCTCATCATGCAAGGTAGGAAAAGAAATCTAGAATTATTTTACTGTCCTTATATGTATATATACACACCATGTTGTATTTGTGACAATATTCACTTACCATTAATGGGGAAGGAAATGCTTTCCACATGTTTCTTAAATCCTGAGAGTGAATGTAAACATAACTAGCTTGTGCACAATTAATTTCCAGGTTACCTTTTAAATTAGGACCCCATGAAAGCCATTTTATCTTTCCCTAAATTCTGTGTTTTCCAATTTATAATTTTTTTCTGGATTCTGTGTTTTATGATTTAATGCATATTACTTATTATTGTTTGTCTAATGAAATTAATTCATAAAACTATTCATTTAAAGCTGCAGTTCGTAAGTTTTGCCTCTTTGTCGCCATCTCTGTTTGAAAACCTGCAATTGCAGCTGTGTGCGGAATTATCTTCCTTGTGTGGGTTGTGAGCCGGCGCGGATGAATCTAATGTTTTGAGGAGTATGTGTGGCAGTCGATCACCACACCGGTGTGGATATTTAATGTTGGGGTGCTCCGATCAGGATTTTTGAGACCGATCACAGACAGCAGTATCTGCCGATACCGATCACAGATACCAATCT